AGACCCTGACTCTGACCCCAGGGAGGTCCCTGTTTGATGGGAAAGGAAAGGAATGTCCAGGGGTGGCAATGAGAACACAGTCGGCGGCGGTCCTCAGCTCTGGTGCACAAAGAGCAGGATCTGGCCAGGTCATCACACGACGGAGGATGTTGTCTCCAATCTATCGATGTTGTCTCACCTATCTCAGCAGCCACATTGTCTCCAGGGCTCTTGCTGAGCTCGCAGGTCTCCTTCAAGAAATCACTAGCAGATATTTTCAGAACGTGAAACATACATTTATGTATGTATGTAGTATGTATGTTAACCCAAGCACAGGACTGCTTTATATCTATCCCACTAAATCTCATCTTGTTAGCTTTGGCCTATTGATCCAAACTGCTGAAATCTCCAGGATCCAGCTGGTGTCGCATGGAGCAGAGTGATCCCCTAGCTTTGTGTTGCCAGGAAATGTTCAGGACACCTTTTTACATCCTCATAGAGCAGCTGACGAAACTGGGGGCCAGAGGAGGCCATGCACACAGCCCTGTACCAGCAGCATTAGCAGCAGCAGCCCAGCTGCCCGACACAGGTCCAGTCATGGTGAGTGATTGGCTAATATCCTCTGGACAGTCACTTAGCCAGCTCCTAATCCATCCAATGCCATCTCCATACTGGCCACGTCTCCCCATGCAGCACATGGTCATCTGAGATGATCTAAAACACATGCCCTACCACACATTTATGTCCAACGTTTGTCAATTTTTAAATGTCCTTTCTACTATTGTTGTAGAATGTCGAGTAATTAAAGTTGCCCCTGAAGAGATGCCTGGTGTCATCATTCCAGACAGAACACAAGTCAGTGCTGAAGTTCTTCCAGCCCAGAGACACCCCGGAATATAAATCCAGGGGGCCGTGGCCTCCCCATGGCAACCGCCATCCACAGCGCCGGGAACCAGGCTGGAAGACCCAGTGCCCCCGGCCTGAGAGACGCAGGCAGTGTGATGTACGGCCCTCACGTTTAATTACCCTCAACTGGAAAGCGCTGGCTGAGCTGGCCTGCCTGTCCAATAAAGCACCTGTGTGAGCCAGGGCCTGGGCGTCCACAGGGATGGGGTGAGTTATGGAAGCGATAAACCAGCCTCCCTCCCTGGGCAGACGGCAGGAAGAAAAACGCTTCCCAGTGGGGGCGCGGGGAAGCTGTGTGTTCCTTTAAACATTCAATTACGCTCTACAAACAGATTGTAAGTAAACAGCCGATCAGCACAAATTAGGGATGCTAGAAGGCAAATAAAACAGATTCCCTGAAACAACTATTATTAAAACTCGGCCCTGCTCCGTGGACGGCTTCACCATGGAAGAGATTCCGGGCACGGATAATTAGGTGACTCTCTTTCAGCATTAGCTTCAGAGTACAGCTCCTATGACTTAAGGGACTCGGGCCACTTTTATTTAGGTTTTCATTTCTAAGTAGATTTTACATTAAAACAGATTCCTAGATATTCAAAGACAATCTTCAATGAGTAGGCCTATTTTGCCCTTTGGAAGTTTCTGGAAGTTTTTAAAGGCCTTGCAAAGTAGCCTTTCCYCTGTTTTCTCTTATGAACTGTGAATACTTCAACCTTCTTTTCAAGAATTTTCAAGCTTTTTATTTTCAAGTTTTTTCCCCTTCATAACAAAATGATTTTTTTCTAATCTTAAAGTAATATTTTCTTCTTATGAAACATTAAGACAATAAAAAAAAACTCTCACAATCGTACTACTCAGAGATCCATGTCATGTGTATGATTTTAAAATAAAAACTGACTACCATGTAAACTATTTTCTAACATGATATTTATGTGGATTGCACTATAAATTTCTTTGCAGTGATTTAATTCTTCATCATTTTTAATTATTGAATAGTATTCTGCTCCAAAGCTGAGCCGTAATTTATTCAATTGAATTCCTATCAATGTACATCTAAGTAAAACATTCTGTAAAGAATATCCTTGAACCCAGGGCTGATTGCTGGCCCCAGGCACTGAAGCAGCACGTCAACCAGAYTGGTCCATTGGATGACCTTCAGATTGGTCAGGGGCCGTTCAATTGGTCAGGCCTTTTTACTATACTGGTTGTTAAATATTTAAATAACCTCTGCTTATATTTTTTATCATTGGGTTCTTATAGCTTTATTTGAATAAGCTCTCTGAGTTGGTCCTATTGCACCAAAGGCTATGCAAATTAAAAATTATACTATAAACAAGTGATTTATACCTTTTATGTCTGATAGCATTAAAAGCTAGTAGCATAAAAGCATTCCATTTCACTTATAAAACTGYAGATTTTTTTGGTATTCATTGCCTCAAAGGAATTTTCCATTTGTAATAACACGTAGACTCTTTCAAAAACAATAGTCATACAGAAGTATTTTGGGAAATGCATTATTAAAATAGTAATATTGGCATGCTCTGACTATGAAAATATTACTTTTAACAGAACGCAATTCTTGAAATTGGTACAATACTATTACTAAATAAAGCTATAGGACATCATAGGAACATATTTAAACATGCTCCATGTGTGTGTGTTTTTTAAATGTCTGCTGACAAAGCAGTTGGGAAGAGAGAAATAAATTGAGAAGAGATGATTTATGTTTTCAACTTTCCTAATGTCAAGATTATCTTAAATGAAAGGCCCAGGATTGGAAGGAAGCACACTAACACACCTTTTAAAATAACATTTTATACTAATTAGTCCTTGTTCAATTGTCCACGTATATTTTACTATCTGCAGCTAACGGAAGGTAAATCATTTTCTGAGGGAAGCATGAATGAGGCTATTAAGCCACTTTCCACACTCAGAGGACCCGAGGGGCTCTGAGAAATCATTTCTACCTGGAACAGCATGTCCTTCACGTAGCTAAATGAAGACGTAGGATACAAAATCACACAAAGTCTACAATCTCAGAAAGACAAAAGCAGCAGAGACTTATTTTTKAGAAAATCATCTGCATTAGCATGCGCCATGTCAACCAGGGTCATGCTCAGTCGAAGGAATATCTATTTTTTTAATTCTTTGTTCCTTTTTTTTCCCTTATGGTGTTCAATTTTTGGCTGGTGTTCCTTTGATAGTAAAAACAAATAACTTCAGGATTTTATTAAAGGCTATTTCCTCTCCTCTACCTGCAATACCACCTACAAAGTTTAGGATCAGCCTCCCCCATGCTGGGCACCGTGTCCCTGCCTAACAATAGGGTCGGTCACAATACAGCTGCCAATCATGGCAGTGCCTCTGRGGGCATGCAGCGCAGAGGGAAGCCYTCTCTCTGCTCTTTCAAGGAATACCTAGCTTCCTCCATGGAGATATTTTCAGAAACACGAAAGAACAGTGATTTAAATTAGACAAAGAGGAATGAAGGGAAGGGACAGAGGATGGGAATAGGAAAGGCAGCAGAATGAATAGGATACGACTTTTCTGTGTTCTTATATGGATACAATGTAACTCCACATCATGCACAACCACAAGAACGGGATCCTAGGTCACAACACACATATGTAGAATATTTCAGAATACACTCTACCCTCATGCTTATTTAAAAAGAACAAATAAAAATAAGAAAATAGAAGCAACATTTATAAAAATTTAAATGCCCCATAATATTCTTACATGAAAGCCAAAAAAAGAAAGACCATGAAAGTATTGATTTTCCTGAGAGAGCCATCAGAAGCAGCACACAGTTCACATGTTCAGTATGTGTGCTGGAATCTCTATTTGAAGATCATTGGCACCAGAAACGCTAAAGCACATTACTTATTTATTATTTACAAAGCTTTAGATACATCTAATGGTGAGGGGTGCACATGGAAGATAAAATATAAAGAGGCATTTTTGCTCTATTTTCAAGTTCTGAATAAAGTTTAGTAAAYATTGTCTCTACCACACAAATAAACAGTATCATTCTTCAAAAACATATACAATGAGAGAGAGGCAGGTTGTGGATCCCGAGGAGGAGGGTACATGATTTTATGGGACTCTAAGTACCCATGGCAAGAGATGCCAAATGCTAGGGTGGCCTTTGGTGGTCTCTTTCCTCTGACTTGCTCAGTACTCGCAAATCACAGTTCTGATGTCAATAAGTTGGTCTGACTTTTTACATAAAGATGCTAATTTGAGTTTGCATGATTTTCTCTCTCTCTCTCTCTCTCCCTCCCTCTCTCCCTCCCTCCCTCCCTCCCTCCCCCCCCCCTCTGGAATGCCTTCCAGAGGATTCCCATCCACACTGCCATTTCAGCAAAAATGGGTGAGAAGAAACCCACACACTGAAAGGGTGAATGGCCATTTGGCATCAAGCACTGGGAAGCTGACCGACACCTCCACCTGCAGATGCTGGCCAGAAGGCCTTCCTACCTGGGAGCTGGTCAAAGGGAACGTGAAGGGCCCCTCAGAGCTGAGGAATTTGTGGGGACAGCCAGAGCATAAGAACTGACACCAACAGCTTCTCTGGGAGGCCATGCCAAATATGAAGTGGTACCCATGTGCTCCGGAATAAAACAAAAGACCATTTTCTGGAAATTTATATAATTTTTCCAGGAAAGAGTCAAATTTGTAAGTAAATAAATAAAGTTAATACCTGAGGAGACAAGCTTTGAAAGATAAAATAAATTCTTGGTATTTCCTAGGGAYGAAAGAGTTTCTACCTGTTTGAAGCTGTCACACAACTTGGAAACTGACCTATGGACACTCTGAATGAGCAGGGGATGCTTAAATTCTTCCCTTGAAAAATCAGACTGAACCAAAGAAACATCTGAACAATGAGAAAACCTGCTGAGTTACCAAGTTCTTTTTTAGAGTGATAAAATTCTTTATTTTTCCTCTGGGTAACTGTTTAAAGTTAACTTCATCCTCAAATCTGAATCTGGATTACAGACCCGTGCACAGAGTCCTGCTTCTCTAAACACCAACATAAATTACACAGCACTTCCCAGTCCACGCTGTCTTAACTTTGTCCTGTCATGCCGTAAACAAGGATTAGCTTGACTTACTCATTTCTTTCCAGATTTATGACCAGTTCTCTGCTTTCCAATTGCATTCGAACATTCAACACTTCTGGATGATCCTGAAAGATAAACAAGAGGGGTTGGTGGAAAAACATTTGGCTCTGACTTACCGATGTCAGGCTATGCTCCTCTGGCAGTCAGCAGAGGGAGAAAAATCCACGTTCCCCTTTGGAACATTTGGAGACTTCAAGAACAGAAGAGCAGAGGAGCAGCTGGAAATGKGCCACCAGGCCCTGACATGGCCTCTCCACCCTTTCCTTCCATCACWTACCCTAGGGCCCCTTCTCCATCGCACACGGCCCATGGCTTCCTTCCTGGATCCTCCTTGTCTCTATGAAGGGCACCTTCCTTTCCCCAGCTGCTCATATGAGAAACTAGAAGGTAAACTTTTTCATTACCTTGTGGCCCCCTCACCCTCACCAACTCCATCTAATCCAAGAGGAAGTCCTGTTGGGCAGCTCCTGAAGTTCCAGTCCTAGTGACCAGCTCAACCACCATCGTCTCTCACCCTGGATTCCTGCAAAGCCTTCCAATTTCCTCCACGTCCACCTATGCTCTCTTCCTCTTCATTCCCCATAACAGTGGAGGGATACCTCTAAAATCACCACCTCATCAATCCACCCCTGCTTAAAACAAACCACACTGATAAGACACCCATGCTTTAGCACGGTCTGGAGCTCACCTGCCTCCACATCCACCTACACGGCCTTCTCCTCGCTCACCTGGTGCTAGCCCAGGCCTTGCGAGGTCCTCTCCCAAGAATCGAGGTGCAGTCCGTTCCTAAGGATGAGGTCCACCTAAGAAAAGCCAAATGCCATCGCAGCCCTGTGCACAAATTAATGTTTCTTAGCCGTTTAGGAAAAGTGTGGGGGAGGCACCCCGGGACAGGCACCGCTGCCTTGTGGGCCTCTGGGTCTGATCATCAGCCCAGTATGAGCACCACAGGTGACCACTGCCTGGCGGAACACGGCCACCCTCCTTAAGTCAGAGCTGACTTCAGTGGCATTGGCTCTGTCTGCCTCTGCTTTGTGAATTCTTTGGGTTCTCTGCTTTTATGAGAGCTATGAGAATAAAACRTTTATATGTAGTTTTCTAATATTCTGTATTTGAAAGGCAGTATCACTACAAGAGTCCAAGGGACATTTTAAAAATACCATGTTTCAACTAGATGACGAATTAACCACCCATATGTGACACTTAAGACAAAAGGAACTGCAAATTACAAATAGCCAACATTAAAAAAATTAGTTAAAAATGAAACAAAATGTGAAAAAACCCACAAGTGAAGATCCCAYGAGTTTTGGAGAAATGACAAAGCCTACATTAACTAGTGCACATCACTAGTGTGGCATTATAAAGCCCCCATTGTTAGCTTGGCCCTCTGACATCTTCTTGTGGCCTTACTGTGTCTAATATGGTAGCCACCAGCCACATATGGCCATTTAAATTTAAACAAAATAACATTCAGTTCATTGGTGGCACCAGATGCATTTTAGAACTCAGCAGCTGCACGTGGTGAGCAGACAGCACAGATGTGGAACCTTGCACCTGCACAGAAAGGTCTTTTATTATTTATATATGACAGCAGAATGCTTTACAATTCTCATTACACATGTAGAGCACAATTTTTCATATCTCTGATGGTATACAAAGTATATTCACACCAATTCGTGTCAGACAGCCGGAATGAGGGAAAAGACCCTCACCTGCAGGGTCCGTTTGCTTCCCGAGTGGGGGTYTTCAGGGAGCATCAGCAGGTGCAAACCCAAGGTTAGGGTTTCATGAGCCTGGAGGTGGCTCTCCTACTTAACTATCGTCATCCATATAAATTATTATCTTCCACATCATATGGATCTACACATTGTAATGATTTAAAATAATATGCTTTTAGTTGATGGATGATATTATTTTAAATAATGACTTGAACTAGAGAGTTAAACAGGTGAATTCACATATATATGAAATATTTGTGCACTTTTCTGGGTTTTAGATAGGATTTTTAAAATGGATTTTTAATTTTTTTTTTTTTTTACACAAACACAGTTCTTAGTTTTTGTATTTTTACACTGTCTGGTGTTTATAAGAACTGCATGGATTTCTGGTGTTTGCTGAACTTTTAAAAATTAATATTACTATTCAATCCCATGTAACGTTAAACACACACCACATCCTTGTAACAGTTTGTAGAAATGTTTTTTGTTTTGTGTCAGGGGTTTTTCCCTATATACTCACTGACCCTCAGATTTAATCACCAACACTTACACCATGCTTACCAACACCTCATGAGTAATACAAACTCATTAATCATATCTTAGAAAAACAAGATTATTAATTAGTTTATAATAAAATATTAAAACAAAAATGTATCAACATTCTGTCAAGAGGCGCCCAGACACCATATGTATGCATCTTCATCACTGTTTTGCATGTGTGTATATATAAATATTACTTTAGTTACAAATGGCATTTGCCKAAGATATTGACATGCAAAGCACTGTCTTAAAGAGAAATCCTGACAATTGTATTTGTAAATAAAAATAAAGTGCTGGGGATATAACTCAGGGATAGAGCAAGTGYTTAGCATATATAAAGGTCTGAATTTGATCCCCAACACCGCCAATAAATAATTTGCAGCACCCTTTAACCTGAAATAAGTGAGCTATTTAAATATCAATATTTGTGCTAATTCTACATAAAGTACCTACATCAACGCCATGCCAATGTCAACATGTTTCAAAAAAATATATTCCCCCCAGAAAGATGAGAAAATGTCTCTGTGTATATCTGAGTGGATGTATGGAGAGTAGAGGAGAAATCCAGTGGAGACAGGGAACAGAGAGCTACTTTATTTCAAAACCACTAATTGCATTAGACCTCTTAGCTTAAAAGCATGCATTCATTCCATTTTCTCTTGATTGTTAGCCACTGGAGATAATGAACTGGTGCTGGTGAAATACACCATTTCTATTTTTTAAAATGATATATTGATTATCCTAATGGAACCGTGTCTTGTGCTGAATGCCTAAAGAACTGCATTTGCTGAATAAATCCATTAAGTGCTAATCAATAGACTAGAGGCGTTTGGGCAATAATTATAATTCTATCTTTTTAAGTTTGGAAAAATAAATCTGAAGGAGTATATAAAATGTGTGTGGCTTTAGAAAACAACAATAAAATAATTGCCAGGGTACTTCCCACCCAGCTGAAAGCAAAATATGTCCAAAATTTCAGAAGCCCTCTGGGTGTGTCCGGGTGGGCCCTCTGGGGTGGGGTGTGCTTATCTTTGCCTTATTACTGGATAAATGTTCCATCACTCCATATCCTTCTGAATGTCTGGCARAACGTTAACGTCCGTCAAGACCAATCTGCCCAGCGTGATCCTGTGCCCACGGGTTTCAGCGTCTGCGTCCCTGGTTAGTAACGTCTTGCGTTCCTGGGAGCCCTGGCTCTCCTCTTTGGGAAAGGCCAGCTCATGCTTTGACCCTGGCCCTTCCTCCAGTCTCTGTCCATTGTCTTGTCCTGTTAACTTGTATCTTCTGGATGCTACTCCCCCGTCTGTTACRTGGGTCACAGATCCTCCTGGTGTGTCGTGTCCTTTCACCCCCTTTCCTGTGTGAAAGAGTGACGTCATTTTAATGAGCCCCTTCACGATTTCAACATTTGTGCCTCATTGGAGAAACTCTTCCCTGCTCCGAGGTCAAAGAGCGGCCATGCTGCCCGCCTGCCTCCTTCCCGTCACCCAGCTCTGCCTTGGCCACTGCGCCCCCCACCCTGGGCTGGGCGGAGAGCAGGACTCCACTTTCCAAACCGGTCGCCCCAGCACCACGTGGGAAAGCATCTGTCCGCCTCTCCCACCCCTCATGGCCTGTGTCCCCAGCTCTATCACGAGTCCTGGCATTTGGGAGGGTGGATCTTCTTGCTGTCCCCCGCAGCACCCAGCCCTGGCCTCCAGTCTTCCAGCTGCCCTTCTGGTGTGGGCTGCTCGGCCAGCCGGTCTCTTCTCGACAACTGCTTTCACCACCTTCCTTCTCGTCCATGTCCGTGTTCCAGGTCRCCACAGGAAGTGTAAGCGCGGGCTTCTTTCATTTCTTCTCTTCTGCCTGTCCTCCTTGGGAGAAGGGAATCCCTCGCTCTCTCTTCCTCTTCCCCTGTGCACACCGTCTTTCTCAGCAGTGCTCCGCCAAAGGCAGGTGGACACGGCCGGCAGGGAGCGGCTCAGGACCAGGGACACACCGACAAGACGGCTCAAGGCCAGGGCTGGGAGCAGGGCACCATCAAGAGCAGTCAGTGGGCCAGCAGGTGCTCCCCAAAAAGGGCCCACAGAGAGCTGGGACAGGGATCAGTGGGGTGGACATCCCAGAGAACAGGTCCAGCTCCCACGGGATGCTGGGCAGCAGTGATGGAGAGAGCTGTGCAGAGAGAACCACTGGGCCTTGGGGCAAGTTCTCTTCAACACCAACGAGAAAAGTCACAGCAACACCAACAGCTTCCTCCAGAGGCTTAAGGAAGATGGTCCTTAAATTGTAAAGGGATGAGGGAATCTGGGTAGTTTCCCTATTGTACTCTCTTCAGCGCATGCATGAATGCACTGTACATGTGTGTGTCGTGTGTGTCGTGTGTACACAGGTCATAATGCAGGCCTCTTCGACATCCCGATTTCTTTTTTATTTTAAAAAATACATATATATATATATATATATATATATATATATATATTAGTTGTAGATAAACACACAGCATATTTATTTTTATGTGGTGCTGAGGATCAAACTCAGTGCCTCACGCATGCGAGTAAGCGCTTTACCATTGAGCTACAGCCTCAGTCCCCCCTGCTCCTGCCCCAATTTCTTACACAGTATTTCAAGAGCTCTCACTGTTTTCACTTTCGCTGCACTCCCAATTCTGCCCTGGACTCAGCTCCAAGTCCCTTCTTGGAGCATGTGGGCAGGGAGACAAAGCTCAGGCTGACACAGCATTTTCCCMGGGTCTTCCTTTCCTCCCAGGACAAAAGCTTTGTCCCTGGGCCACACTTATCAGACACTCCACCTTGAAGGTCTGATCTGCCGAGGCCAGGGGCTCCCTCCCTGGCCCTCAGCTGCCTGGCTGCAGAGGTGCCCCACAGCGCACTGG